GGGGATGTACAAATTTCCAATTTCATACGTGTCACGACAGGTGCTCATCAATTATTTTTGAACATATGGAGTTATTAGTCCCATTGTCATTTGTCTTGCTTTTGATTGAAAAAAACAACATTTATCGTGAAAATAAAAAAGTTGAGATATTAGCGATTGAAAGAAGTGGGGCTCGCATAATGTCAGAAGTAAATTGGCGAGAAAATGGCCACCAAATTTACTGATTTCCAAACTTGAGTGTCCTAGGAAACGGCGAATTTACTTTTTTTGTGTCTTCGATCAACACTTTTCAGTAAAATCCATTACAGAGAAATGTGTTATGAAAAGAGCACGAAAGCTGTTGAGCAGAAAAAAAAAATAAATTATTTATAGAAATTGCCCAACGAGTGGAAAAACGGCAGTTTTTTTTATTTGATTGATTATGACGAGCACCTAATTTCACCCTGACACCACACATATTACACATTATAACAAAATGATAGATATTCACAAAGAAACAATACAGATAAACATGTCCATAATAGTCACTCAAGATCACAAGGAACAGTGGCCGTTATATGGTCGCTAAGGACAGGGTCTGATGGTCACTCACTAGACTTTACAAATTTAACAGAAAGTTTAAAATCTAAAGTCTCAATGTTGTTACCTTTCCATTTCATTTCCACCAAAATTGTTATCTATCATAAGAGCTGCTTTGCATTGATCGAACTTACTCACATCGCCGTGGGACCGGTTGGCTGACAACTTTGGTAGCAATTGTGACCTCTGTAAGTAAGTAAGTAAGTAAGTAAGTAAGTAAGTTTATTCAATGTTTAAGGCCATTGGCCCACATCACATCACACAAAACACTCATTTGATGAGTAAAGTTTTCATAATGAATAAATACAGATTGTGCACATATGTCTTATCATGGGTCAAACATTGCATATTTCTGTCACTGGGTCGAGTCAGGCTGGAAGGGATTAACAATTTCCTTTGATGGACAAAGTGTGAACAATAGAAAATAAAGTGAAATTCATCTTCAATTTCATGAGAGTTACACCTCTCACATAAGGGTGAATTAGTTAATTTCCATCAATAGAAATTGTTATTTCATGGAAGGCTATGGGTTTTTAACAAAGCTATGATTCTTCTGCTCCAATACCGTGGGAGGTTGGTGATATATTCAACTGTTTCTCGAAACGGAATTGTACTTGTGACCTCTGAGTAGGTTTTGAGACCCACTAGACAAGAAAATGACCCACCGTGGTTGTGCTGGACAGGGGCCGCAATGGACGGGTCAAAAGTATAGAAAAAAAACCCAGGACAAAATGAAACAGTGGATGTTAGTGCAGGTGACCGTTATGGAGGGGTGATCTTTAAGTCAGGTTCGACGGTAGTAATATAAACATTGGACCTTTTTATTTTAAAAATTCTTACTGCGTTTTACTAAAAAGCCAGAAAGCATCTTATCATACGGAGGCTATGCATGTAATAGTGGCCAAGAAAAAGAATCTATGTGTGTGTATGTGTGTGTGTGTGTGTGTGTGTGTGTGTGTGTGTGTGTGTGTGT